AAAAAAAAAAAAAAAAAAATCTAATGTGGGCCCTGTGCAGTGGATCACGCCTGTAATCCCAGCACTTTGGGACACCAATAAAAAAAATAAATAATAAGCAATAAAATCTCAATAAGCAATAAGCATCTCAATAAAAAAAGCAATAAAAAAAATTCTTGAATCTTTTGTTACCTTACTTTGCTAATAAACGTGCTTTCCTTAAAAAAAAATTCTTTAACCCTTTAAACGAGACAAAAATTTACATTCTGTACCTTTTTTTTTTTTTGAGATGGAGTCTCGCTCTGTAACCCAGGCTGGAGTGCAGTGGCAAAATCTAGGCTCACTGCAACCTCTGCCTTCCAGATTTAAGCAATTCTCCTTCCTCAGCCTCCCAAGTAGCTGGGACTACAGGCACATACCACCATGCCCAGCTAATTTTTGTATTTTTAGTAGAGATGGGGTTTTATCATATTAGTCAGGCTGATCTTGAACTCCTGACCTCATGATCTGCCCGCCTCAGCCTCCCAAACAGCTGGGATTACAGGTGTGAGCCACTGCGCTGGCTTTTTTTGTTTGTTTCGCTCTTGTGGCCCAGGCTGGAGTGCAGTGGTATGATCTCGGTTCACTGCAACCTCCGCATCCTGGGTTCAAGCAATTCTCCTGCCTTAGGCTCCCAAGTAGCTGGGATTACAGGCTCCTGCCACCACACCTGGCTAATTTTTTGTAAATTTAATAGAGAAGGGGTTTTGCCACATTGGTCAGGCTGGTCTCAGACTCCTGACCTCAGGTGATCCACCTGCCTCAGCCTCCCAAAGTGCTGGGATTATAAGCATGAGCCACCAAGCCCGGCCTTTTTTTTTTTTTGAGATTGAGTTTCACTCTTTTTACCTATACTAGAGTGCAATGACGTGATCTTGGCTCACTGCAACCTCAGTCTCCCGGGTTCAAGCAATTCCCCCGCTTCAGCCTCCCCAGTAGCAGGGATTACAGGTATGGAATACCATGCTCAGTTAATTTTGTATTTTTAGTAGAGATGGGGTTTCTCCATGTTGCTCGGACTGGTCTCAAACTTCTGACCTCAGGTGATCCACTCACCTCGGCCTCTCAAAGTGCTGGGATTACAGGCTTGAGCCACCTCACCTTGCCAGTTTCTTCACTGGGTTACTGGCCTCAGGGTGGAGTCCTTCAAGAAACTTGGCTAGGAAAACACATAGTGTCTAGGGCCAAATAAGCAGGCACAGCTGAAAAAGAAAAACAGATCCCCAAAACTAAGAATCCCATTGTTATACCAGATCCTGGCTTTCAAAAACAGGGAATCAGCCAATCCCTATGGGAGTCCTATCTTTTAGTGTGTGTGG